CACAACAAGGAGGACAATACAAACACTAGCACACACACACACACACACATTTGCAATGACAATAAAGCAACAACTAAAATTTACTACAAACTAATGGTGGGTCAAAACGGAAGAGGCTTAATATATAAACTCATAGACATAGAAGCATATGTATGCATGTAAGAACATGAAAATGTACACATTAATACACACAAAGGTAAATCAATAGATATGTAAATACATACATATATTTTAATAAATATAACTAGGTTGTATTCTAACTGCATCGCTTTTGACATTATTAAAAGGCTGTAGAATCTTTATTGATGGCTCCAAAACTGAAGCAGCGTCAGGATCTGGGTTTTATATATCGAAAGTAACGGAGGCAATCTTCAAATCTCTCTTAAGGAACATGCCAAGCCATGGACTACTTAGTGGAAAATATATATTTACGTGTCTGTATTGACAGCCAAGCTGCACTTAAGCCAATAGCCAGCCCTCTAACTACTTCCAAACCAGTTTGGCAATACAAGTCTCGCCTAACACTAAGTTCAAACAGAAATAATTTCGACTCGATTTACATTTAAATTGAGCTGCCGCTATTTGGGTTTCACACGTAGGGCCACAAATCAAAATTAAACATACCCACCAGGGTTGCATGGAAAGTTTGACTCGATTTACATTCAGTTAAGGACTAATATAGCAATTAAGGGTTCAAATTGTATATGGTAAATTGAATCTAAATCGACTCCATTAGCGCTTATTTGAGTGAAATCAGCTAATTGCTCGATTAACTTTAAATGCCTGTTTAAACTTAGTCTAAATTATGTTGGATAACATAAAAAACTTGTTTTACTCTGGATGCCACATACCGCGAGAGTACCTGGTAAGGAGACATCTGACCATTTGGCTAAATAAAGCTCAGGCTAAAAATCCCATGGTTCGCAACTAGTTCTAGCATTCCCGCCTTCGGCCATCGAAGCCACCATCTCAAAAACAAGTGAATAAGCATTTCGATCAACAATTACTGTGGGGCCGCAGGTGGGCAAAACTCATTGTGCCATCAATCTTAGAGGGTCTTGAGATCATTGATTAAAATGTGTTGCTCTTTAACACCTAACACTTTGCTCCGATTTATGGAGTCTGAGTGCTGTTTTCTGGGCGTGTTGTTTTGTTTTAGCTCCGATAAACAAATATATATTTAGTAGATTTCTATATTTAAAATAGTTCAGAAAAATATATAATAAATGGTACCTTTGCTTGTTTCGGGTTCTTCGAATTTTGCTATTTTCGATTTTTCTTAAAAATTTTGGGATTTATTCGGTATTTTCCTTTATTTCTTCAGTACATTGCAAGATTTTTCATGCTATAATTTTCGGAATCTTCCGGGGTCTTTCGAAACCTTTGCGGGTTCCGGGTTTCATCGAAACTTGATATTCGAAACTTTTTTAATTTTGGATTTTATTTGGACTTTTCAAAATTTTTCGTAGTATTATTTTCGGAATCTCCGGGGGTTTTCGCGATTTCCGGAATATTTTGGGGCTTTCAGGACTATTTCGGGATTTTCTGGTCTTCTGGGATAACGTTTGTATAAAGTATTTAAAACTTAAATACTTATGGCCTTATGATTATAGATACAATATAGATACAATATATACATCTGATTCAGCGGAAGCCTACTTATGAACCTATAAGGCGGCTTGGTAGCACTCCAGCAAGCAGAGTTGTTTCTATGTATGTCCTTGTCTAAATTGTCTCTAATTCAAACAGACATGCAAAACGTCGTTCAACACAAGTTTTAGCTTCATTCATCGGGAAGAACCACTTTGCCTACTCCGAGTGCATGTCAAATTCGTACGACTTTCTACTGATCTCAAACACAGCGCCTCCAATTATATTCATTGCGAGCTGACCTCCACAACAAGCTTTTTCATAGCATACAATTTTAAGCAACGACCTCCCGCAGCGGTGACCTTAAACACCTTTCAAAATTTGCTCATATGAACACGCGATAGTAATATACAACCAAAAACGCCCCAAATTCCGACATTTCACTGCAAATGTCAATATCGCAAACAATAAGTCAATTACGGACGCACATTCTTTAAACTCTACAAACTGTTATAATCCACACTACAATGCCATCGCCACTCAATCCAATTATCTTGTCAGCAAAGTCAAGGCTGCAGCTTAAACATTGGCGCATGCGCATGCGCATAAACTGCTGACCGCTGTCGATTTGCATAACGAAAAGAGCGTGCCGTGCTTTCGACTTTTTACGTCCATGGTTGTGGCGTGCCACAAACCACAAAAAGCGAACAAACGATAATCCAATTAAATGCCAGGCGATTTAAATATTATACACGCATGCAGATAAACACACATACGCACTCAAAACTACATATACATATAACTCATCTAGCAACTACATACTTACCAATGGAGAATAGAACGCCGAACTATCCACGCCGATGCTGGGATAGGGATTTTGGTCGCTTGATGGATAGGGCGTGCCATAAACACTAACTCCCGCCGTCGCGCCTGCGCCTGGCATGCGTGTATAGCTGGAGAGCGCCAAGCGCGCCGAATCGTATTGGCACGAGCACACCGTCTGTCCGGATACGGGATCTGTCATGATGGGGCGGCCGTTCTCACAGCAGGGCGCAGTGCCGTCATTGACAGCGCTGGCGGCAGCATCAATACCTAGGCCAACATCAGCCTCGCTACCGCTGCCGCCTACGCCACTGACATCTGCATTTAAGCTGAGACTCAAGCCGATTGCATTAGCGGTGCTGCTATGTAGTATACTCAAACCGCCTGAGCCGGAGCTAGGATTGTTGTTGTGATTGTTGTTGCTGCTACTATTTGCATTGTTAGATGTTTGCGAAATTGCACCTGGACTGAGCGGCCCGGTGGCAGTGGCTGCGCCAGTTGTAGTCGCCGTCGAGCCGCCCGATGGGCTGAGCGATGCATCGTTGCCGCCAGAGAGCGGTGAGGGCGCATTGCCAATGCCGTTGGCTGCTGTCATGCCGCTGGAGATGGCGGCGGCGGCGGCGGCGGCTGCGGCAGCTGCTGCAACGGAGGAGGACTGAGCAACGCCGTTGAGTAGCTGCAAGTAGGAAACAGATAAGAAAAATGAAATTATTGGTTTTGTTCGTAGCAAGTAAATGAGGCAGAGAGCAATAAAATTGTATGTAAGTATGAGTGTCCAGGAAGGCATGTTGCTGCGCTAGCAGACAGGTGATTTGTGTGCTGCCAGCCGACACCTAGCCAAACAATAGTCCAGCATAAAATAACTTAACTGTTGAGGCAATTGAAAAACAAATCGCCAAAGGCACATTCACACACTTTGCATTGCTGCGGAACGCATGCGCCCCAAACGCACAGGTAACGAGCCTAAGTACGTACAGCGTGCCGTACCATACTCGCCATCGCCCTACGACGCTGTTGCTGGGCGCACGCGGCGCGGCGTATGGCGCGGTCAACTCAAGTCAGCCATGCAGATTAAGACGATAACTCCAAATGTCAAAATATTTTATTGGCTCGGCGCAATTTGCGATCCGTTCCATCTATTTTCACTTCATTAATTTTCAATTTATCACAGTCAGATTTCAGATACGGCAGCGCGCAGCAGAGGGAGACGGCGAGGGCGCAACAGCAGGCAAGCTGGCAGACGCTTGGCTAACAAACTCGCAATGTACGCCGCTTGTGTCGTGTAAGGTCGTCGTGAGTTGCTTGAAGTGAAGGAGGCGCAGTCACAACAACAACAGCAGCAACAACACAACCAACCGAAACAAAGAATCACACAAAAGGGTCTGCTGAAAAAAAAAGACAGTTCGCTTGTAGACGGGCGGCGCAGGGGGGGAGGGGGTGTGGAGGTGCAGCAGTCAATAAAGCAATGAAACAAAAGAACGCTAATGTTTATTGGACAAAACAACAAAAACAAAACCAATCGGTCAGCAGAGTAAAGCAACGGTTGGGGCACGACCGAAGAACACACACACACAAACGCGGCTGCGCGCGCGCGCGCACACACACATACACATGCAAATTGTTAAATGGCACCGCTGCAGGGGCTGGTGGCGCATGCGCGCAGGTATGCATGCCGCGGCTGGCTGCCCGCACTCGATAACCGCAACGAATCGCAATGAGCGCAGAGTGAAGTGAAAAACATTGGTGCTGCCAAGTACATAGCATAGCAGTGCAGGGCAAACAAATAAAAATAACAAAAACAAATTTAAATTACGCCAAGCAAAACAAAGGCGAAATTCAAATATCGATGCCTTCTCGAACGGCTGGCTGGCTGGCTGGCTGCTCCAATACACACACACTACACTTCCTCGGTTCGCCCTGCTTCACGCCGCGCTGTCACTTCGCCGATTCATTAGCTGTGGCTGTCACATTTTATTAGCCAGCATTTTGAGGTCCTCCACACAAATAAAGGCAGAGTAGAAGAAAGAAAAAGGCGAAGAAACGAGGTATGTAAGGCAGCAAAAGAAAAGGGAATTAAGCGGCGTACAAATTTGGCTGCAAGCAAGAAGGTATCGAAAAAAGGAAAATCAAAAAAAAATAAAAAAAACAGCATCAAACTTGACTTCAATAAAAAGAATCGGCTGCCAGCTAGTAGAGTCAAGAGTCTATAAAAAAGTATACATTTAGTTTGTTTAGTAGAAAGAACAAAAAAAAAATCGAGAAAGTAAAAAGGCGAACGTCTGACACGAAAACCGTGGTGGACACGTCACTGGCGGCAGCAAGCAGTGCCAGCGACTTTTTAAGTATTTCTTTTGAACCATTTTTTCTAAATTTTTTTCCATCTTCTTGCCAACTTTGCCATTGCTATTGCGGACGCGACGCGACAACACCAACCGATCTCATACATCCAGCGGCGGCTGGTGGCACTGGTCCCTTTTATCAGATGCTAAAGAGTTGCGCTGCAAAGTAGAGACATTCAAAGCAGGCACGTCTAGCAATGGCTAAATGGCAGCTGATAGTTGATGACAAATTTCGTACGCCATTTGGAAGGAATGCTGTTTGAGCTTTGAGTGGTCGGAGCCATTAAACGGCGGCGGCGCGGCGGCGGTGGCGGCGTTAACCTCGTCAAGAGCGCCAGCCATGCAAATAGGCAGCTGAGAAGACGCAGACGGCAGGTTCCCTCAGTCAGTGTAGAAACAAAAAACTTTAATATTCTTGTATATAAACAGCGCAAGTCCCAGCAATGTTTTTTTTTTGTTAGTGGATTAAGAAAAAATGCTTTAAGTTTAACTTAAGTCCTTGCTCTGACACTTCTACCAAACAGCGCTTAGTTGAATGTTCTTCTCAGCGCGTGATCGTTTCGAACTGATTGCGAATTATTGTCGAATATGTAAAATGTGGCAAAATATGCAAATTGCCCAATGACAAGTGTTGCCATCATTTATTTACACCACTCGGCCAGTCTTTCGCTCTGTTCGTCTGCGCCGTCTTTGTTTTATTCATCTGATAGCTGGTGCTGAATTTGTTTTTGTAATTCAACTATATGATTTTCACACATTTAGCAGGTATATCAAATTTCCTTTATGGATTGCTGCTGTAGATTGCGAACAATGAATGAATGGTTCGTGAACGGAGGCGCGTAACATTTATTAACTACCAGGGAATGTTAAAGACCAGAAGGGTGTTAAAAGTGCTGAATACAAAATGTGTGTGTGATAAATATGTACATAAAAGATTTTGAAGAAAAATTTAAGAAATTAAATTTTCCATCAAAAGTAAGGACGAGAAACTTTTTCATGTTTTATAGCAAAAATTCAGTAAGGTAAATATATGACGAGTTATAGGAAAAAAAACCCTCACAGAGTCGAGAAAATTTAATAAGGATGTTTAAATTCGGAAACTCATGAGCAAATCTACTCAGGAGGTACCTAAACAAGTGAGGTTTTTGGGAATCTAATGAAAGTTTCTCGTCTACATATATAAAAGAATAGGTATTCAATACCTTCTTGAGTCCTCATTAGTACACTCCAGTCAACGTAAATAACACAGCCACACAAAAAAAAGTTCGATTGCGAAGGCTTCCACAAGGCAGGTTCTCTTCCTTGTGTAGTATCTAAAGACCTCTAGGTGGTCCTACCTCTGGATTGGTTCTTTACGGTTCTTTATATATCTGATCAATTTAAGAAAAAGTATTCACAATTTTTAATCCGCCATTTTGAATCAATCATTTCAAATTTTTCAAATATAGTCAATATTCCATGTATGAAGAGTCACCCAATCTGAATCAGTGGTAAGAATAACCAAAATTTCAGTTTAGGTGCAAAAAAAAACAATGAATTCACTGACAAATCAATTACTCAAACTGCAATTCCCTCCAGGGGGTAAAGAATCCATCCCGCGGTAGGGCCACCTAAAGGTCTTTACCTACCATGTGCCAGTCTTCGCACTCTAACTTGTTTTTTTGTGTCCCGGTGTAATCTATGTGCATGATGCGCTAACCAACCCCTGTGAAGCTCTACGTCAGGCAGAAAAAGAAGTAACTTCGTTGGAGCCACTCGGACATGTTCGATTTATTTCGTAAATAGTTTGAAGACCATCCATCCTCGGTGCTATGCCATCTTCAGTAACAAGTTTCATTTACACAAGTTTCTACTGTAGCGTCTTTCCAACAGGATATGCATTGGTAAGAGAGCGTCTCAATCAAAACTGCAACACAATATGGTTTTGCGCAGGGTTTGGGACCCGCCATGTAAAAAACCATACCGCCTGAAATGACCTCGAGTATGCGCCAGCTACCCATAGTAATATGGTGGGGCCTTACTAGACATTGATGGCAAATGCCTGGAGGAGAATTTTTACTCCAGGATTTTAGAAGGCAAATACTTATAGATAGAGTGGCAACATAGTTGAGAACCGGAATTCAGGCGAACTCTACTACTTCTCTGGACATTAACGATGAATTTCCCCTTGACAGAGATGAGATGGGTGAGGGCCAAAATGCTCGTTGCTGTTGTAGCAACACTCCTAAATTCTATTTAAATTGGTTAGTCTAGTTAGTAGACTCAAGAAATACCTGTTTATTTGGGATCGAATAAAGAGAGAAGGTTTAGCTGAGTGGGTTTAAGGGTGCCAATGAAAATGTGGGGTATGTTCACAAGTCGGACATGTGTTGGGTATGTCCAGATCGACTCGGGAAAGGTAAGAGTTAGATCTGCTTTAGTATCCAGATCTAAGTTGCGCAAGAGTTCTGAAAGTCTCGCATAGCAGGTAAAGCTTTACCTTTGCGGTGGGTGGTTGTTGAACTCCGATGACTGCGTTGACGAGTCGAGAATTTGTAAAGATGGTGATTTGCTCTCAGTGAATGTCGTTGATAGTTGGTCCAATGGTTATGCGATGTACTCGTAGATCTGGATCTAGTTTATGAGTTTGAAGATATACCGTTTTGGTTAATGGCAACAACCGAGCAGAATTTGCTCTCTGAGCATGAAATTGTAATGCTTCATGGGGAATCTTGAGGCCTCGTTATGCATTAGGTAATCATGACATGTCTTAAACTTTCTTTCAAATAGGCGCAGCGTAGTTTAGTATCAGCCGGTAAATAGACTTCAATGTCGCCAACAACGCTTCTGTGTATTTGCCCAAGAGCTGCCAGCGAGCGATATGAGGACGTAGGTCTGTAGTTTATTGGTTTCAAATTGGAATTTCAAAAGTTTAAGAGAGCATTTATTACCTAAGCAGGACTATTCAAGCAATTAAAGAAAATGGATTTGTCGAAAATCTTAATTAGTAAATTACCTTTATTTATCTTCATTTCTCTAACAACAAGCAAAATCTTTGAGCATTATTTTTGAAGAATTTCATATTAAATTACAAATTAATCACATCGAAATTTAAAAAAAAAACACTAACACTAGTAGCAGTAAAACTGGCATTTGAAAACCTCACAACAACATTCGCATTCCTTCATATACTCAAACCTCAAAATATTCTAATAACCTCCGCTCATCGCATAACGAAATTATGCTTCCAACAAACGCAAATTTGCAACCTGATAAGTAAACGTTGCGCTAAACAAACATCAACTGCCATAACCATAATCATCTAGTAGCAAATCTGTATGCAATTGCACGCGAAGGC